AGTATGCACAATCCCCTGATTGTAGGTTGTAGGGCATCTGATCTTCATCCAAAAATAGATTACTGAGAGAGCTTTAGAAACAAACTTAGAGTGTCCTTTAATAATTCAATTAAACTTTTTAGCAATATAACATAACAGCAAGGAACTATCTGGGAAGTGAGTCTTGGTAACACAGACCTTAATTAACAAAGCTAGAATTTAATATTCAGTGACACGTAATTTTTTTCCCCCCCATTGTAAGGGCATTAACCCTGCAGGGCATTAACCCTGCAGCACCCCCATTGTAAGAGCAACCCTGCAGGAAGGCTTTATCCCATCAAATAAAAACTGAGGTTTGTCAGGGAGCCGGAAAAAACCAAGCGGCTGTCTTGGATTTCCCATAGCCCTGACTGTTTGATTGACAGCTATTGTTTACCCATTTTAAATTCCCTGATTGAGGAGTAGACTGTTGCCATGTTTTAAGGGCATCAGGATGGCAAAAGTCTGGCAATGAGGGGTTAGTTTCTGTAGAACCAGAATGAACTTTATCTACACGCGCCATAATCTTCATAGATCATTGTGAAATACTACTTATTTACTCAACCAAAGTAACAAAAGGATTTTAAAAGCAAATATAAATCACTTAAATGCAAGGTCATTCACACAGTCTGTTATCCAAAGCAGCGTTCCGAGAAAACTTCGTTCTCTTAACAGAGAGAGGGAACCAAATTGCAGTCTGGTACCAGCTTACTGTTAATAACAAAATTTACTTACCTAATTAATTTTAATTCAATCTTAGAAAGTCCTTTCTATAAATCTTGAAGAGGCAGTATTTTTGCAAAGGCAGTTCAACATCTTAAGAAAATTGTACCATGTATAAAACTCTTTTCTCAGGGTCCACTTTCCACAAACCTTTTTTTATCACTTTCTGTATCCATCACTTTATTTTCCCATATTCAAAAACAGCTACCTGTAAGTCATTCCTTCTTCCTTTTTCCCTAATAAAATGCAATTCCATTCTTCATACCTTTTTTACAAAAAACGTACATCCTACTTTCCTTAAGCAACCATGAACTGTCCTTTATATCATCACTCTGTAGATTGGTAAACATACATCCAAAGAATAATTTTTGAAGAATGTGCTTTCTTATAGTAAATATCTCAGTGTGGCACCAACACATTTTTTAATAGTTCCAAACCTTTTGTTTCTCTGTAAAAGGAAGCCAGTGTTCAGTAATTAATGTTTCAGTATCTTATTTTATTTGGAAATGGGCTAGGTATTTAATAAACTTCCATCCTTTAACTTAATTTAGCACAACTCAATGTTTTAAGTTGTCGACTATCTGGAGAGATTATTCTTAAGTAGACATTCCTAAAACGTAATTATTCCTAAAAAGTTCACCCAAAGCTCTTATCTCATTTGTATTTTCTTTTCATAAAAGTTTCTTCATCTTGAATTATTTTCATCGCGGACAAATTTTCAGCAATGAAATAATAAGATCTTATTTAGTTTATATTAAACCTAAATAAAAGTATTATACTTAATGTTGATCGCTCGAAAGACATGTCTATATTAATTAGATCAACAAACATAAACGTTAACACCAGGTATTAATTTAACATTGAATATTCCCCAGTTCACATGAACCTGACATTTATTTAGCTTAATTTTTCTTGTTTTAGAATTGTTTGATTTGTAAGCACTTACCTTTCTTTTAAGCCAATTAAATAGAGCTTACTTACAAATTAACCTCAGCAATATTATCCAAAGACACATGCTGAGACATACACATATATCCAGTCAGAGATCTCATTGTTTCCACTTGAGATTTAAAATGTCTCTTTGCCTCTTTTTTTTTTTCTTGGGTTGAAGTTCTACTCATTAACCCAAGGCTAAAGTCTCAGGCAAAGTGGGCTGTGTTTGTAGCTCAAGGACATGATAAGAGTTAGCTTCAAACTTTTTCCTAGGGATATTTTTGTTCTCTCAGGGTCAGGATTCTGAAAAAAATATTTCAACAGGCTAGCTTTTCTAACTGCACATGCAAAAAGAACCCCTTTTGCAATTTCAAGAAAAGTTTTGTTTTAACCAGTTTTCTCCGGAGTCTATAGAATATTGTAGCCATCCTGACTGAAGGAACCTAACTTGTTTTGAATTTGGGAAATGTCAGACATGGGAAAGGGAACATGGACTCTAATAGTGCTCATGTCTCCATTTGCTACTCTTCCCTTAAGGGAAGCATATTAGAATCTGTTTCCTGGTGTTGGGCAGTCCTCCACCTTTTGTGGGGAGGGGAGAGGGGGCTTTCGCCCTGATAAGGAGGTGCCTGTTGGGGAGCTGTGGGTTGAGGCAGGGGCAGGGGCTGAAGCAAAGGGGGTTGATGGGGTGGGGGACAGGAAAGGTCGAGTAGAGGGTCGCCTAGGAGATCTAATGGAGAGGGAGACAGAGGGGGTCGGGAGGATAAGGCGGCAACAGAAAGGCACACGCGGCATGAGTCCCTTAGCTCCAGATTCTGACTAAAGGCCATAAAGGTCTGGACACAAGGAACCTCTGAGTCCTTTCCTTGTTTCCGGCAAAAGAGATCAAGTTGGAGGATCGTGTAATAATTTAGTGTGCCATTAAGAGGCCATTGCTCTCGGTCCCCTGGTTTATACTGAGGCCAGGCCATGTTACAAAAGAAAATGAGCCTCTTTTTTTTGAGATTTTTCAGGGTCCAGTTTTTCCAGTTCCTGAGGATACAGCCAAGGGGTGAGTCTGAGGGAGGCCCCCGAGACGTACCAGAACCCATTCTTAGCCTGTATGCTGTAGAATGGGGGTACTGTCACCAGCTGACAGAAAGCGTCCCCTTCGTGCCAGTGATCTCTTCATGCGACTAAGGCACAAAATGGGCCGACCATCCCAACAATCGCATCCGACTATGAGAGGTGACCCCTGAGCGTGCGACTAAGGCACCATGCGACTCAGGCAGGGCAAGAAAGAAAAGAGAGATTCCCAGGACCCACTGTTTGGCAATTCCCTGAAACGTGAACAGGCACTCCTGGGATGGCTCAGAGGTAACACCTAGGTCCCTGTAAGTCAACCTGGACTGAGAAAAAGGTGAAAGTTAACAGAGAAGACAGGCTGAGGAATCTGCCTTGTAGTCCTGCCAGGAAGGCGGCGGCCAAGGGGAAGGGGGCTCAGTGTTTTGTTTTTTTTTTTTTTTTCTTGCGTTATGCGGGCCTCTCACTGTTGTGGCCTCTCCCATTTGCGGAGCACAGGCTCCGGACGCGCAGGCTCAGCGGCCATGGCTCACGGGCCCAGCCGCTCCGCGGCATGCGGGATCTTCCCGAAACGGGGCACGAACCCGCGTCTCCTGCATCGGCAGGCGGACTCTCAAGCACTGCGCCACCAGGGAAGCCCCCCTAATGGCTTTTAAATGCCTGACCCCGAGCCAGCACAATACCAATCGGCCTAGTCCTTAGAAAGAAGACAGAGGGAACCTTGCCCATTCTGGGCGGCAGCTTACTGGGGCAAAGCGAACCGTGGAGCCTTCAGAACACACCAGGGCGTGGCCCTGGCCAGAGTTCCTCTGCTGCTTCCCCCGCAGCATGCTTGTTCACAGAGGGTCCCAAGAAATGAGGAGAGGAGGTTGGGGAGGAGACCCCCCAAGAGATGTCCCCGTACGGGCCACCAAAATGTCGTGGTCCGAGTGCGGGTTGGAGGAAGAATTTCCAGACACAAAGTATTTTAGAAAAGAGTGAATTTATTGAGAACAAAGAGTACAGCAGAGTTAGTGAGGGGCGCTGCCAATAGAGCGGGCCAACTTCCTGATAGACCAGGGAGAGCCGACCCCCTTTGTGGGCTAGTAGCCAAACTTTTATAGCTTCCTGCTGGCAGGATGGCATTAGGTGATTGGTCAGGATGCTACAAGGTTAAGACATGGTGATTATTTTGTCTAATATGGAGCTGGGGGGCTGCCCGGTTTAGACTAGGAGAGCCCATGGTAACAGATGCCATGGGGTTTGGTTAATTCCAGAATTTTTGTCCTGTGTCCTTGATGTAGGGCTCCACAAAAGCTATTAATAGATAGCTTATAGAAAAAGAAAATATAAATGGCCCAACTTATTTTTTCAATGTTTATTCATTCATTACAGGAATGCAATTAAAACTATCAAGACACCATTTTCCACGTGTCATACTGTCAAAAATCAGAAAGCTCTGGTACCACATGGAAAGCTCTCACACGTTGGTGGCTGTAACATTGGGAAGAGCCTCCTCTGTGAGGATAAAACTTTCCCAACTCGCAGGATCCCTCATTAGCCGCACACACCCTAGCTGAGGACCGCTGCTGCTGGGAACTCATCCTTCAGCTTGCCTTGCAAGTAAGGAATAAGCCACATTCGCCATTTATTGATGCAATGGCTATAACTGCAAAGGACTGGAAACAACCAAATATCCCTCCATCAAAAGGGGCCTGGTTAAATAGATTATCGTGAAACCATATCCATGCAACCCTAAACAAGAGTTCTTTCAGTAAGGCTATGGAGCTCTTCAAAATAGTGAAAAAAATTAGAAACACACGGGAAACTGATGTTAAAGGCAGCCTCTGGAGAGGAGAGGTGGCAGCGGGGCTGGGGAATTTCACTGTATACTCTTTAGTACCTTCTGAATTTTGAACCACGTGAATTATTAGCTATTCAGAAAAAGAAACTTAAAATACTTATATTGAGTCCTTCCATGTTATGAAAGTTTCTGGCTTAGCTCCCACTAATTGAGTTACTGTACTCTGTCCTGCAGTATATCCTGCTTCATGGAACATCAGAGATAAAACCTAGGGGCTCTGAGTCAGGTTGGGGCTCTGCCCACTGCCAGCCCCGGAAAGGGAGAGACCTGTTAGGGTCAACCAGGCCTGCACTTTCCCCCCACTCCGTCAACAGGTGGCGCTACAGGGCCTGTGGCCTGGGACAGATGGCAGTGGTGTGGGGAGCCCAGGAGCCTCGGGCGGTTGACCAAGAGGCAAAGAAGCAGGCAGACACAAATAAGTAACATAAAATAGAAACTAACTTTATTTCTCTGGAAGAAGCAGATATTCATAGCTGGGGCAGCAACTTTGGCAAGAGGCTGGTGGGAAAACAAAGAACAGCACAGGGGAAGAGCTGGGTCAAAGAGGAAGCACTGGTGTCCCTCCAGGGCAGCTGCCCCCTTGGTCTCCTTCCAACCCTGGGGCCTTGGGCCCTGGTCCCTGCCAGAGAACCATCTGGCACCCTAGCTCTGCTACCTGAGCCACCTCAGGCTATTTCCAGGCACAAGATCCTAACACCAGCCAAGTCCCATAACATGTCCACGGTGAGGCCACAAGTCACATTCCGTCCGACACCCCAACTGCCGCCAGGGGCTCCCTGGGGAGGGCCCCCGTCCCATGCCCTGGGTGCTGGTCCACCTTTCTGCATGGCCAACACATCCTCCCTGCCCGGGGTCAAGCCTGGCTTCCCTGCCGGCAGGGCCTGGCAACACATTTCAGCTACAGGCCCCACCAGGGACTGAAGCCAGAGGCAGGTCAGCCACAGGGCCTTCTGAGGCCACCCCCAGGCCTGCCTTCAAGAGGCTCCCTCCTTCACCTCGGCTGGGTGCACTGAGAGCTCCGAAGTTGCAGGGACAGCGCTGGGTGAGGGAGGGACAGGCATGACGGGGCTCCCAGCCTCCTGCTGCCTTGGCCTCGCTCTGCCACTGGGGGCAGCAGGTGCAGCAGGTCCTCCAGGCCTGGCAGGGCATCTCCCCACCCTCGTCAGATGGATAGGCTCAAATGATTCCTTCAGGGCAGATCCTCTGGGTCTCCAGACATCTCAGCGCCTAAAGGATGGCAAACAACCAGAAAGCCCTTCCATCAACAGGGGTTGGTGCAACAGAGTATGGAATGTCCAGTGTGGGTGGGTGCGAGAGGGCCCTCTCAGGGTCAGCCAAGTCGGTTGAAAACTGGTGGTTCTAGGCACTAATTTTGGAATTTAGCATCCTGGGATGACTTCTTTAATAAACTAAGAATAAGACACCAGCAGTATCGTGTGTATTAGAGTAACTGATGCAAATCAGTAAGAATAACGAGGTAATGGCCAACGTTCAGCGATGGCGTCCCATGGGCCAGACACTTGCTGTGTGGTGCATCCCTCATTAATTCTCCTAACCAGTTCTATGAGGTAGGCATTATCATTTACACACGTTTTACAGATGAGGACCCTGAGAGGTCAGGAAAGGAGCATACGCTGACGCCACGTGTGAGCAGAAGGCTGGGCTCCAGCTTAAGCTGTCTGTTGCCAGAGGAATCCGACACACCCACGCCGCCAGCGCCCCCCAGGGAAGGATTTCACTTTTTGACTTGATAAAACTTTCATTTGTATGTATTTATACTCTACATCAAGTATGTTATTTATATATCTATATATTGTGCTATATATACACGTACATACATTTTTTATAGGAAAGTAATGGATTTTTTTTTTTTTGATTAGACATTCCTTTAAAAAGGCATTAAATCTTTTTGTTACTTTAAACTGAAATAGGAAATGAAGAGGTGAGAGAGATTTGTTTAAACCACTGGATCCTAAACTGCTGCTCACTGGAGCCCGGTCAGGAAGCAAGCTCCCTGCAACCAGAGAGGCTCCAATTCCTTTTACTCATTAGCTCATTTGAACAAAGCGCCTGTGAAGTCTAGATAAACGTGCTTAGGAGAAGCTGTTTTCTCCGAGAACTGTCTGTGTCCTGGGATCAGGACCCCTTTCCCTCCTCCCGCCTGGAGCCCTGTGTCTGGCCGTGTGTGGCTGTGAGCTGTTGGCTTTTCCCAGGGTGACTGCTCCAGGACACCCCGGGGACAGGAAGGTGGCAGGGGCAAGGTCTGCTCACTTGTGGTGGGCTGGGCCGCAGGAGCCCAGCAGGTGGCAGCCAGCCTGCTCCAAGTTCCAGTCGAACATCTCCAGCACTTTGTGGCACTCGCCTCGCGGCCGCAGACCCAAACCAAAGAGCTGCTCCACCTGAGGAGCAGAGGGTGGTGCCGTGGGACACACTGGGGCCAAAGGGTGCTGGACCAGGGCGGGACAGAGGAGAGTGAGGGTGGGGGCGGGGAGCGGGAGGGCTGGAGGAGGGCCGCAGAACCAGTCTTCAGGGTCCCTGAAAGCCAGAGTGGGCGGGAGGTGGTGGTACCTTCAGATACTGGGCAGCCCTCTGCACGCTCCAGCTGTGGCTCTGCAGGGCCGCCTGGCACTCCTCTGTGGTCACCCCATGCACCATGGCCTGCAGCTGGGCACACCCACCCACCCGTCAGCACCACTCGGGCCCCTTCCTCCGGGTCCCTTGGGCCCCTGCCCCTCCTCACCCTGTTAGCCAGGCCCACTACTCACCATCTGGATCTTCTCTGCTGGCCGTCCAGCCTCTGGCCCGTCCCCGGGGCAGCCCCTCTGTGGCAGCCGAGCAGTGGCCCTCAGGGCTGGCAGCTGGGCACCTGAGTTGCTGGTGTTGGTGGAGAAGTTAGCCTTGGGGTCTGGGGCAGCCTGAGGCATTGGTCGAACGGTGGCAGTGGGGGCAGCAAGAGCTGGGATGCCGGGAGGGGGCAGCAGCAGGGGCACAGGCATGGGGGTCGGCTCTTCGGGGCTCCGGGTCTCACGCAGGAAGCGCTGGTAGCGCTCCAGGTAGGGTGGGCGCTCAGGCAGCAGGTAGTAGTGGGTGTTGCTGACCTTCTTGCCATCACGGACGATGGGTAAGATGCAGGGGCCAGCCCGGGGGCCAGGTGCCTGGATCACCTGGGGTGTGGCATACTTGGGGTCTGAGGCAAAGCTCTGGGTGGTGGGCATGGTCTTCCCAGGTGAGCTGGAGAGCCGGGGTGGCAGCGGGGAGCTGCCGCGTGGCACCAAGGGGCTGGGGGTCCTGGAGCCTTGTGGGGACAGGGGCTCCCGGGGTGGTACCCGGGGAGGGGAGGCAGGTCCAGGCCACCGCCCCATCTCCTCCTCGCCCGAGGGGGCTGGAGACAGCTCCCCAAGTGGGCGTGTGGGCCTCGGGGGGATGGGCACACGGGGGGGCACCTGGGGCTTGTCGTCGCCCACCGGGCTTGGCGAGGGGACCAGAGAGCCGGCTGGGACCTGTAGCTGCCGCATGCACTCCTGCTGCAGCGCCTGGAAGATCTCTGCGGTCTGGGCTGAGTTGGGCGGCTTGCCCCCACCCTGAGGCGGGAGGAACAGGTTGTCCTCCAGGGCAGGGAAGAGCCGCGCCGGCTCAGGCACAAAGGCGTAATTGGTCTCGCCCTGGCTGGGCCCAGCAGAGACCCCTGCACTCACGAGGGTGCTGTTGATGGAGCAGACCTCAAAGTCATCCTCATCCTGGGCCACGTCATCGTAGGCAGGAGGCGGGGGCAGCGGGCGCGCATCCCAGTCCACCACCGGCGTGGGATGCAGGGGCCGGGGCAGGGCCCGCGAGGGGCTCTGCGGCGGGGTCTTGTCCAGCAAGGAGCAGGCATCCATGGCCAGCTGCGCCAGTGAGGGTGCACAGGGCCGTGGGGCCAGGACCACGGGCTCCTCACCGAAGTCGATGAGCGTGACCTCACTGCTCCCGCGGCCCGCTTTGGTGCCCGGCACCCGGGCAGAGGGCTTCGCGAGCCACAGCCCACGGGGCAGTCCTGGCTTCCGCAGGCCCAGCCTCTTGAAGTCGCTGGACAGGGGGTCTTGGTCTTCACTCACAGGGTCGTAGGTTGGTTCTGCGATGGAAGGTAGACCCCAACAGGGAGGTGGCGTCAGCCAGGCCGATGGGAAAGGTGGGGTGTGGGGAAGACAGCCCACAAACTCCCCACTCCCAATTCCCCCAGAGGTCAGCCCTCAGCCGCCAGAATTCTCTGCGCACCCAGACCCCATTCAACAGGAGGGCAGAACCTGTGCCGGTGGTTGGCAGCCCTTTATGGGGCTTGGCAAGCCCCTCCCTCCATTTCAGCTAGAGCAAGAACACCCCACACCTGCCTGCCTCTGACACCCCTCCATCAACACAAGACCCCATATACCCCGGCTCCTGAGCCCTGGTTAGTAATCCCTACCCCATTACGGCACACCATTAGTGCAGGCAGGGGGCTATGGGCAATCTCCCACCATCAAGGGCAATAGGAGCTATCCTTAGAGAGGACAGAGCTCCTGATCAACTGGCATAAAGCCCAGACACGGCCTCTGCAGGTCCCAAAGGAAGTGAGGCAGGGCCAGGCAATGGCGGACAGTGGCAGAGTGGGTATCAGGACCACACTCTTGTTCCCGAAGCCCAGGCTTTTGGGGGTGGGGGGAGAGGCAGGCATGCTGGGCCAGGTCAGCAGCAAAAGCTCACAGCACACACCCACTTCCCCTCCCACCAGCCGGCCAGCTGGGGCTCTGTACCTTCCAGGAGGAGAGAAATGAGAGGAGAGAGGGGGCGGGGGCGGGGGCCAAGGCACCAAGAGCAGCCCCACTTACTCTGAGTGAAGATGGCAGGCTGAGGAGGGCGAGGTGGAGGCTCCCCTGCGAGAAAGGTCATGCGGAGAGTAGAGGGGGCAGAGCAAGGGAGACAGGACAAGGGAGGGGAGACAGAGTCAGACAAGAGGGCAGAGTGTGGAGGGGGGAGGTGGGGGGGGGGGGGAG